AAAAAAAAAAAAAAAAAAAAAAACAAGGAAATGTGTAAAAGCTATCAGTGCATAAAATGCATATCTCCATAGGAACAGTGGTATCAAAGGCTATTGCTGTGATTACTTGTTACTGCTGTGCAAACCATGAACTCTCTCTGAAAGTACTGTGTGCTGGGACTTGTTTTAAGCATGGAATTTGTTTCATGTAATTCAGTTCTCAGAATAGTTTTTAAGTAAGTTATATTACCACCCTATTTTCTAATGAAGAAATAGCATTTGGCTTGTGAATACAGACCTCTTGTACGTTGCCAGCTGGGATTTTAATCTTGGTGGGCTTCTCCTGAGTCTGTACTCCTTTGTTAGTATTATATACAAATGGTTCCATTGATTAAAATTGTGTGAAAAGGAAAAGGGAGGAGGTGGGGGCCAGGGAGAAGGAAAAGAGAGAAGAGGAGAAAGATCAGCATGTCGGTGATTGTGTTTGAGGCTATGGATTTTGACTTTGGCTCTCTTGCCCACCCAACTTGTTCTCGCTGAATTTCTGTAAAGAGATGTCAGACCATGGCATGGGAGGCATCTGCTACCGGTCATGTGTTGTGCTGTGGGGTCCCCACATGCTGGAAGGCTCTTGGGTCTTGGTCCCAGGAAGATGGATGCCTCCACATTCACCCTTAGAAGTCTTTCCAAGGACTTTCTGAGCCTTTTCTGAATAGGGGGCAGCACCCATCAGTGTGTACCAAAGATGAGCTGTGTGCACCAAGGGGAAGTCTGGCTATTGTAAAAACTTGATGCTAGGCCCACAGGAGTCACTGGCAGTGACAATAACCAGGGATGACTTGGCCTGTGTCAACACCAGCAGCAGTCTATGGATAGGTACTGTCTTCTCTTCCCACACCCTCATGGATTATCTCTGAAGTTTCAGAGCCAAAGAACTGAGGCAGAGTATGGTGAATTTGATTTCGGAGCTCTGTGGATCAAAAACAAACAAACCAACAATAATAACAAAAACAAAGTCCCCCGGATCTCAGCATCCATGCTTCCTCCTGAGCTGTGCGAGCTTGGACAACTGCTTCACAATCTCTAATCCTGCTATAATTTTTCCATAATGCACAGTGGGTGGTGGGTGTCTCTCCATACCAGACAAAATGGGTTTCCTTCTGCAAACACTTGGCACAATGCCCAGCATTTAGCAGGGTCTCCTAGGCGAGAGCTACTCCTGAACATCGTTCTCTTGAATGTTCTTAAATGTTTTAAGTTCTACAATTTTCTAACACAAATGCAAGGCTTTCCTCCATCCTAATCTTAAACAAGATTCACAGTTTTGCTGTCCCTTCATGAAGTATCAATATTGGGGTGAATCCATAGCTCAGGATGCTCCTTGGGAATAAAGAGACAGGGGATACTAAATAAAGAAAAAGAGATCTGCCAGGGAATGCCTACACCCCCAGAGGCTCCAGTTGTGAGACCTGGAGAATGAGAGCTGGTAAGTGTCTGAGGTGCCTCCTGCAGCCATTAGTGAGTAGGAGGTGAGGCGTTGTATTCAAGGCCTCATGACCTATCTGATGTTTGTCAGATCCAGAATTAGTTTATAGAATATCACCTTGTTGGGAGCCTTTAACATCCCAGGAAAGACTCTGGGTGCCACCTCCTTGGCCCACCTCAGTGTGCACCTTCTCCTTAGGTGGCAGTGGTCTTAATCTCCAGGAGCAGTCAGAAAGCAGCGACATGGAGGTAGGAGACTTTTGGGGACAGTCACAGGAGCCTTTCAGGCTCAGTTCATCAGGCAGAGTAAGGTCAGCCATGTCCCTTGGTTTGATTATGCCAGACACTCCAGCTGACAGCCTCTCCCGGAGCTTATGGGTTGTATCAGAGCCATGTGGTGTGTTGTAGGGTCCCACTCACCAGCAGGTCCCATGCTACTAAGCATCCTGGGTCTTGGTCCCAGGAGGATGAGGATGGAAAGGATGGCAAAACTGTCACCTTTGATTCTCCAGGAAACCACACAGCCTTGGCAGCCTGGGTTCTTGTGCCCTGTCTCCCCATGCCTTGGCTCTCTTCTTTAGTCTCCCTTCTGTTTCCTTTATGCTTGAGAAGGAGCCAGGTGACTGTTGTGGGGCTATCCTTAGACACAAGGATGGAGCATCTCCTGCCCATTTGAAACTCTGTTGGGAGGTAACTTCCTGTCTTAGAGACTGAGGCCAGGCCTGTTCTGATAGTGATATTCAGTGTGGTTAGGAACTGAGCAGCTTCTTCAAAGCACACATCCAGGGTCTCTACACCCCCAGGCTTTAGCTTCAAAATCAGAGAGTGTGTGGGTGTATGTATTGACATCGTAATTGCTCTGATATAGCTGTTGTTTGTTTCTGAGTTAAATAACACTGTTCATGTGCAAGCATGGGCCTGTGAGCCAACAGTTCCCCCCACCCCCAATCCAACCAGGAATTGCTCCGATGGAAGCCTTGGGTGGGTGAAGAAGATACAACTTGAGTCGCAGTTGTCCTTGACCCTAACGAACACCAGTATTGAAAGCTGCCATTTTTAAACACTACACAGCAGGCAGGTTGGAACCTCTTCATGTGCACACTCTGATCTGTCTCGCACAAGAGACAGAAGAAGAAAGAGCTCCAAGAACAAGGAGCAGAGAGGAACTCCCGTCATCCTAGGTACCCAGGAGGCTGAGACAGAGAAACCGCAAGTGAAGGCCAGTTAGTGTCACAGAGTTCAAAACCAGTCTGGACAGTGCAATGAGATCCTGTCTCAAATAAAAACATGGAAAGAGGTCTAGAGATGCAGTTCAGTGGTAGAGGCACCTGCTTAGCATGTGGGTATCCTGGGTTCAGGAGAGAGGGAGGGAGGGAGGGAGGGAGGGAGAAGGAAGCAGGTGTTACCAACATTTTCAAGAACTCACAGCCAGTGTGTATTAGATTCAGGATCCATACCAGTTTCACAACAGCTCTAAAGTCTTGCTTCTAAGTCCCCTCTTCCTGTTTTCATCCCCAACTAGACCTCAACATCTGATCCCGATTCCTTAGCCTCTTTCCTAGGACCTATCCGACTTGGGCTGAGAGAGGGTCTGACAGGCTGTGTGATCAATGACTTAAGTCCCATCCTGTTCTGTGACTTCCTGCTGCCCTACCACAATCCCCTGCCCCAGTGCCCAAAAGAGCTTCCTGTGGTTCTGACCCAAAGTAGCACCTGAAAAAATAATTTAGCTCTTGCAGTATTGGGAGCTGACATATTAATGCAAAGCCTCCTGAAATATCACTCATTATTATGCATTTTGCCAGTGTTTGAGTGATTTGTGAACTCTTCATTGGAATAAAGTACTGTAAATGATTCATGAATGACCAAGTTTATGAAATTCTATAAAAATATTAGCGGGTGGTAATGATTCTCTCTCACTGTGAATGGAATCTGCTGGCTGCAGATTTGTCAATATGGGAAGACATGAATGGAGTGGGAGACAGAGTCAGTTAGGCAAGTGGGGGGTCCCAGTGGAAGGTTTGGAATGGTCTCCATAGGGGGTATGAGGCAAGACAGAAAGCATGGCAGATCATTGTGAATGGCATGTGTCACTCTGCTCACGTTGACGTAGTAGGAGATGAACAGATAACTGGCGGTGTGTGTGTGGGGGGGGGGTCTGGAAGGAAGACAGGAACTGACGTTACTATCTACCTACTGTGTTCCTGCCCACCTCCTGGGATCCCACATTAGTTACTTTCCTTGTTGATGCAGCAAAGCACATGACAAGAAGCCACTTCAGGGTAAAAGGGTTTATTTTGGCTCACAGTTTGAGGGAATCATTTCATCACAGTGTGAAAAACATGGCCTCAGGCAGGCAAGTCACAAGAGGCAGGCTGGTCACAACTCACAGTCAGGAAGTAGGAAGGAAATAGGAAGTGGTGGCCAAGTCTTGCCACAGGTAACCTACTTCCTCCAGCAAGACTCCA